ACGGGCTCCGGCGATCCTTCCGCCTCAGCCTTCCAAGTAGCTGGAACTACAGGCGCGCGGTACCATGCCCGGCTCATTTTTTATTTTATTGTAGAGATGAGGTCTTGCCAAGTTGCCCGGGTGGCTCAGGCAATCCACTCGCCTCGACCTCCCAAAGTGTTGGGATTATAGGCTGAGCCACCGAGCCCGGCCTTGTTTTTGTTTTTGAGTTGGAATCTCACGCTGTCACCCAGGCTGGAGTGCAGTGACACACTCCCGGCCACCCCAGCATCAACCTGCTGGGCTCTGGCGATCCTTCCACCTCAACCTTCACAGTAGCTGGGACCACCTGTCCGTATCACCACATTCGGCTTTTTACTTTCTCTAGAGACGAGGTCTCGCTATGTTGCTGGGCCTGGTCTCGAACTCCTTGGCTCGAGCAATCTTCTCACCTTGGCTTCCCAGAGTTCTTTTCACTGTTATTACTATTACTACTTCTGTAAAGTGTCCCTGCCCCCAGTGGTTCCTGTCTGCCTCATCCAGCCTCCAGCTGCTGTCCTCAGTCACCTGCAGGCCTTTGCTCGGTGCCCTCTGGGCCCAACAGTTCAGGGGTTAGCCCAGTGGAACACGGGGCATCAGGGGCCTTCCGGACTTAAACAGGGGCCATAGTGCAGGTCAGGGCCAGGCCATTCAGCAGTGGGCAGTGGGGAGCCCGGGGGAGGTCAGCAGGGAGGGTCTACCCTCCTTCCACGAGAGTGCGTGTGTTCTGCGTGTCTGTTTTGAGAGGGGCTCTCCGTCCATGCCTCTGCAGGGAAGCTGACCCATGCACACAGGCAGTGCCAATGGAGCGCTCACTGGGTGCCAGGCACTGCACTAGACTCTGAGGACACGGCGGTGGGCGAGGCCACTGCTTTCCCAGCTCACATCCGCCCTTGTCAGGCCCTTACAGGGAAAGGACTAGCCTGCACCCTCCTCCTTTGACCCGTCTGGCAGTAAGGGGAGCTAACCCATGCCCTCCTGCTTTGTTTGCCTGTGGGGGAGAGCAACCAGGTTCTCTTTTTCCACATGTGGCCCCCAGGGCTTAGCTGGCCTATGCCCTTTTTTTGAGTAGAAAGAGGGTTAACTGGGCTTCATTTCTTTTCAGAGGAGCAGAGAGAAAGAAAGGGTAGCCTGATTTTTACTTGTTGAGGAGGGCTCACCTGTGCTCTTTCTTTTCTTTATGGTTGTGTGTGGGCTAACCTTTACTCTTCTCTTTTTCTGTGTGGGAAGGGGCACTTCTTTTTCCTACACAAGCTGAGGTTAGCATGGGCTCCTCTTTCCTGTGTGTCTCTGTGCTAAGTTGGATCTTTCTCCATGTACATGAGCACGGGGGCTAACCTGCATCCTCTCCCTCCCGCGTGGGAAAGGCCTGACCTGCACCCTGTCCCTCCCATGTAGGCAGGGGCTAACCTGCGCCCTCTCCTTCCTGCACGGGCAGGGGCTAAACTGTGCCTCCTCCCTCCCTCCGGGCAAGGGCTAACCTGTGCTCTTCTTCTCGTCGCGCTTTATGCCTTTGAGCCTCTTAAGCATGCCGCGCAGGTCGGTGACGCCGTGCTGGAAGGCGATGCGCTCGTACTCGGACGGGGGCGCCTGCCGCAGGATCTCCCACACGTCCTCCTCCGCCGGCGCCTCCAGCTTTGAGTCCCTGTGTCCCGCAGTCCATGCAGGGAGGCCTCAGGGGATGCCCTGTGGCCGGGGCAAGACGACAGCCCCTCCACCTCCCCCTCCCAGGTGGGGCAGTTTGTGCCGGCATGGATCCTGGGCCGGGTCTGGGGGCCGCCAAGGGAGTTTAGGGGGGCTGGGGCCAGTGAGAGCTCCTGGCTGGGGGGGGATGAAGAGGATGCCGGCCCACTTTGGGTACTCACCGCGGGACCCGGAAACTGCTGCTCCAGGTGGGCAGAAAAAGCAGGGACACGTGAGAGATCTGGGCACCGTCCCGCAAAGAGCCAGGACCCCACCCATGGACCTCCCCCGCTTCGTTCCCCAAACTTGCACCCCTCCACTTCTGGGGCACCAGACAGTGGGGAACCTCAGCCCGTCAGCCTGAGCCTCTCACCAAAGCCTGGCAGGGAGGGGTAGGGGATCCCCAAAGGGTGAGCCCTGTACCCCCCAGCACCCTACTGCCCCCAAACACCCAGACCCTCGCTTCTTACTCTCTGGGCCGCGGCAGCATCAGCCATGATGGGGAAGGGAGAGGGAGAGAGAGCAGAGTCAGGTGGGCCGGGCTGGGGGGCGATTTCTGCATCTTTGGGGCCCCCTCCCTCTTCTTCTGGGTCCCCGGCATCTACTAGGTGACCCATTGCAGACTCAAGTGTGGGGCAGCCATGGGGACATTGGGGTTGTTCACGGAACGCAACTTCTGCAGAGCCCTCAAATTCTTCCCCGTGCCAGGATCACCCGCTTGGCAGACCAGGATGCCAGCTCAGAGAGGTGCAGCGACCTGCTCAGGGTCTCACCGTGCGAGAGAACCAAACTGCTGGGATTTGAAGCCAGACCTCACCTCCTCCCCCAGGGGCTGCCACCGATAACTCACCTCTTTTTCAGCAGTGAGCTGAAGTCCAGAAGTCCAGCATCCTCGTGACCATCACTAGGGAGAGGGACCCCGGTGAAGTGGCAGTGCGCGACCAGGAGGGACTTGAGAGCAGGACAGAGAGTGGGGTGCAGTGGGAGGAAGAGGCGCTGGCTGGATGGGGCCCCCCCCTCAGACTCCCTGTGGTGTGGGTGGTGTGGGTGGGGCCGACCGAGGACGGGGTACCTGGTCCGCCGACCGCCTCCAGCCAGGCTCCTATGGGGTGAGAACTGGCATTCTCACCTGCCCAGGGGAGCTGCCCTCCCGCTCCGGCCACTGACTCCAGCCCTGTCCCCCACATCATCCCCAGCCCTGTCCCCCACGCCGTCCCCAGCCCTGAAGGCCCTCAGATTCCAGCACTGGCCTCCCTCCCGGGGCCCTGAGGACAGCCACTCACGTGCGGCGGAAAGCTGATCTGAGGTCCAGGTCTCCGGGACCCACAGCCTCTGGGTTCAAAGAACCAAAGGGGATAGGGGAGGAGGCTTCAGAGGAGGGCATTGGAGAAGCCCTGCCCTACTAGCCACAGACCTGACCATCCCTGACCCCTTGGGGGTGGGCACCTGGTCCAGGACTCCACCCTCTCAGCCTTTCCCAGGGTCAAGGAACGGGGCGGGGGGAAGTTCATCATCTGTAATCCCTTGTGGGTGGTCGGTCTCCCACTCCATCTCTTGCCTCACCCCTCACCTGCCCACCAGACATTCAGATGGTGCCAAGCGCTGGGCCAGGCGCTGAGGATGCCAGGACGATAAAGCAGAATCCCACCCAGAGGAGCTCTGGACCCCGTCATCAGCCTCCACCCGAACTCTAGAAGCCTCTGTGCACTTCCCCCACACCCTCATGTGGGCCCCATTGGGCACGTGATCCGTACTGACTTCTGGCCAGGACTACGCATCCTCGAGTGTTAGGAAAGGGGCAGGCGCAGGGGACCAGGACCCACAGGGAGCCTGAGCCCAGAGCAGACACCAGGGCCGCCTCACCGTGGACGGTGAGGTTGAAGTTGCAGCTGTCAAATTTATCCTTGGTGGACACCTCGCAGCGGTAGCCGCCGGCATAGGCTAACTGGGCATCGGTGAGGTGCAGCTCAAATAGGTAAACCTGTGTGTATGCGGGGGGGGGGGCGGTCAGGGGACACCAGGGGCCAGGAGACAGGGAGTGGCAAATGTCCACCACCCTTGTCGCCCTCAGGGTGTAGTTAGCCCATACAGAGCATTTGTATCAGTTAGAGAAAGGGGCCCCTTCTCAAGACCCATGACTGCCATCTGCTGGCACACGACCACGGTAAAATACAAATCTGCAATGGCTGTAAGGCAACCTGCATTCACTTAAATGAGGCGCTTCTGAGCAGTGCACAACCTGCACTGCTGGACATGTTGGCCCTACCCTACCGGAGGCCTCTTTGCCTGGCTCAGAAAGGTTGGGAAAAGTAGAGGCTGGGAGTCAACCTGCAAGGGGACTTAAGGCTTCTCTGGGCCTAGCTCTGAGTGGCCTTTGAGCAAAGATGCAAACTTTCAAGCTCTGGTTTCCTCGTGTGTGCAACGAGGAATTGTTCTGGTCAATCCCTGAGGGTCCCATGAGCTCTGGGACCCATGCCCCCAATCCAGGGCCTTCAGAGTCTCACTAGCTGGTGCCCCACATGCTTCATGCTGTCCTCAAGGCTTTCTGAGCTTCCGGGCCCCCCAAGCCTTATCAGGCCCCCTTGAGGCTATCATGTCCACGAAGTCCCCTGGGAGTCTCACCATGCTCCAGGGCCCCTCCGAATCACCTGTGTGCCCCTGGACCCCATCTGCCTCCCAGTCTGCCCGTGTCCCTTCCTTGCACATCCCAGGGCCTCTCTGAGGCTCCCTCCACGTGTCCCATGACCCCGGCGGACCCACCTTGCTGGCGCGGTCATAGCTGTCACGCAGCTGCAGGTGCTGGCCCGCCTTGCTGCTCAGATCTACCCACTTGCCCTTGAACCACTTGACCACGGGTGGTTTCAGGAGGCTGGCCCCGGCCACGCGGGCCGAGAAGATGATGCTACCCCCTGCAGGGGAGGTGTAACAGGCCAGGCTTGAGGGTGCCCCCATGCCTGCCTCCCCAACCCACCCCTGGGTATGGCAGCCCAGACTTACCCACGGTCACCTCGCCATCCTGCGGCCGCATCACGAAGAGGCCGATGGGGTCTTCGGGGACTCCAGGGCACCCAGGGGCAGGGCCGTTCGGGGCTGCTGAGCTTGGCCCTGTGGGCACAAGCCTTTGAGACCGGCCCAGGACACCCCTGCCCTGACCCTGACAAGCCCCCTCACCTTCAGGACTTGAGACGCTTCCTTCCGGCGCAGTGGCTGGGGCTGGGGCTTCCTCTGGGGCTCCAGAGGCCTCGGCAGGGGTGGACCCGGAGGCTGGCATGGGTTCCGCCTTCTCTGGAGGGGATCGGATGGGGGGTTGTGGTGTAACCTCTACCAGAAACCCCTCTTGTCCTCCACCCTGTCTCTCCTAAGCATCAGACCCATGAGGAAACTCTTCCGGTCACGTCTGTCCTCCTGCTCCCAGATCCCTCCCAGAGGTGGCTCCCGGCTGCTAAGCCGGGGCACCAGCCTGCATCTCACCTTCTCACCCGCACAGGCCACGTGTCCCCACGTCCTGGTGCATCTGCCCTGAACAGCTCTGGGTCCCTCTTTGGGTTTAACACCTGCTGTCCCCGCTGTCCCGGGCTCCCTCCTCACCCACGCTCCAGGGGCTTGCTGGGCAGCCCACACGACCCGCCAAGCTGCCGTCTGGGTGGAGGTCGTCTCCCCAGGGGGTCTCCGATGGGGGGGACAGGGTTGTGCCTTGCTCTCTCTCAATTTCGGCACCTCCGCAAAGGCTGGAACAGGCCAGCAAGGCACGTGGGGACGCTGAGAGGATAGGAGGGCCTTCCTGGCGGAGGGCACAGCCCAGGCCATGGCAAGAAAGCACGACAGCACCTCCTGTCCCCCTTGCAAATGGAGAGGAGGCTGGGCTGACACGGCCCCCTGAAGCCCGAATCTCAGGGGAGGCTGACCAGGCTCTTACCTGCCTCTATGACCCTGAGGTCAAACTTGACCTTGGAGGAGCCGGCGATGGCCGCGTAGGACCCTTGGTCGGCCGGGCCCACGTCCCGCACGGTCAGTGTGTGCCGCACGCCGTCTGCTGTCAGGCCGTACTTGTCGCTGGCGCGGATGTCACTGCCCTCCCGCTGCCAGCGCACCTTTGCGCCTGCCCGCTCTGTCTCGGCCTCGAACACGGCAGGGCTGCCGGCAGCCACCTCCACAGACCGTGGCTTCTTGCAGAAAGCTGAGGCTGAGGGGCGAAATGGAGATTGCAGCAGCCCCCGCCTGGACCGTACCCCCACCCCTGCCCCCTGCAGCCCCTCTGATTAAACACTGTGATCAGCACTCTCACGTAGCACCTCGTGGAATCCTCCAGCGGCTCTGTGAGGTAGGTATGACGTCCATTTCTCAGATGTGGACGCTGAGGCCCAGAGAGGTTAAGCGGCTTGTCTGAGGTCACACAGCCAGTGGCGGGGAGAGCCAGGGCTGTGGTCCTAACCTCCACACAAGACTTGCTGGGTGTGTCCCCTGAACAGTCCACCCTCACTGCTTGGAGACCCCAGTGATAGGCCTGGGTTCTCCCTCCCCCACCCCTCTGGGGCCCTGTGCAGGCCCTACTTGGAATGTGGCTAAATTTGTCCCCCAAGGGCCTCGGCTGAGAATCAGTCACTGAGATAAAGCTGGCCTGGGAGGGGGTTGGGGGAGGGGCCCTGGATCCCTGCCCTGGTCAATCTTGGTAAGGGCACAGCCCAGGACCAGGGGAGCTGTGGATTCCTCTGGCCTGTGCTCGGTGCCCCTGACTGTTCTCTCCCAGAGAGGGGAGGCTGTGTCACCCTCAACGTGGGGACCACGCCTGGTATGGTGGCCACTCGGTACAGGCTTGCGAAACAGTGTCACAGCTGGAAGAAACCAACCCCACCCCTCCCTGTATGTGGGAAAACTAAGACCCAGAGAGAGCAGAGATTGACCGAGGGTATTCAGTGAGCCTGGCTCCACTCTGGACTAAGCACAGGCTTCTGTCCCCAGAGAAACTTCCTGCGGAAGGAGAGGGGTGTGGGGGCAGGGAAGGGGTCCCTCTATGTTCTGAGAAAGGGGAGATGGCCCTGGGCACCTCCTGCCTCTGCTCTGTCCTCTCCCTTTGCCCCCTGACACTGGGTTTATCTTCACTCTCTTCAGAGGAACGAGAAAAGCAAACTGAGAATCAAAAGAGGACCCAAGGCTGGGCCAGTGGCTCACACTGGTAATCCCAGCACTTTGGGAGACCAAGGCGGAACGATTGCTTGAACCCGGGGGGTTCAAGACCAGCCCGGGCAACACAGCAAGACCTTGTCTCTACAAAAAAAGAGGACCCAGAGGGACCCACACCTCCCGTTCTGGGGCTCAGAAACTTCATCCCCACCAATCACTTTCCATCCCGGCTCCCCAACTGTAAGCACCCCCTGCCCCCCCTCACTTAGACCCAACTCCAGGCCTGAAGCTACCTGGCTTCTTCCCTGGCTCAGGCATCTTGAGAGCGGTCACACCAGGCACCAAGCGGGCACAGGCCACCCAAAGAGGGACTGAGTGGGGTCCTGTCCCTCCCACTATATATGGGGACCCTCCCCCCTCCCCAGGCTCTGCTTATCTGCCTCCTGAATGCTTGCCTGCTAAATATAGACAAATTCCAGAGAGCTGAGGTCTCTCCAGGGAGAAGGTAAGGCCACATTGTCCCTAATTGGCTCCTGTCCCTTTCCCCTCCCCCAGCGCAATTTGATGGCTTCTGCCTCCCCCCCAGTTCTTGGCAAACCTCAGGGGTATCCCCAGCCCTGTCTATATGTCCCTCTGATGGCAAATTGTGCAGTGGGGGTGTGCCCATAACCCTAAGGCCAGCGAGTCCAGAGCATCCTTGTGGGCAGTTCAGGCAGTGGCCATGACCACAAACCCTGGGCCCGGGCCTTCCCTGAGTCCTGGCACTGCCGTCCCCTTGACTTGACAGCAGGTCCATGCCCCCATCTGTAAGATGGGGCTGGTGACAGCAGCTAGGCTGTCACATATACGGGGTGGGATCCTGAGTGAAAAGGCTGAGGCCAGTGCCTGACTTGTAGAAAATGCTGGATCGAAGTTTGCTCTTATGACTTGGCCCTATCATCACTGCTGACAAGGGCCTGGGCTTGGCCTCGTGCTTTGAAATCGTGGGTGGGCTCCGGCCAGGGCCAAGTGGGGAGGAGGCAACATTGGGGGCTGGTGTCACCCAAGGACAAGGGCCAAGCGAGCCTGCAGGGGAGGGTCTGGGAGGCAAATTTCTCAATGTGCCCCGAAGTGGAATACAGAAGTATTGCCAAAGTCATGAGGATCCCAACACAAAGATTCATGCCAGAATGTTCTAAGTCTGCTCATCTCTCATTGTTCCTCTGTGACCTCTTTCCCCAGAAAGAAGTCAGTTACATGTGACCCCTTCTAAGCAACACCCAATATCAGGAAAGGTCACCTACCCCCCGCCATCGAAAGGGGGGAATTATATACACGGGCATCTTCCAGATGACTGAAACTTACCACCCCTTTGAACACTGAAATTTATTTGCTTCCTTTTTTCCCCCCACTTATAAACCACATCACCTACTTCTGAGTCTTCTTTTTTTTTTGAGTTGGAGTCTCACTCTGTCGCCCAGACTGGAGTGCAGTGGCC